TGGCAAATTGCCGTCGGCCTTTTATTACTGCCATTGACAATGTTTTTCGATGACTACACAGCAGTCACAGTCTCGGAAGACAGCCAGAGCGTCGAGACAAGCTTCTTGCTTCTGTTAAAGCTCCTAGGCTGGAAGGCAGCCCTGCATGGCAACAAAGCACAGTCGTTCTCAGAATGTTTTGTCAGCCTCGGCATAGCCTACATTCTACCCAGAACTCCTGCAGGCTTCGTCCGAGTGAGCAACACGGACGCCAGGAAGCAGGAAGTCAGCGACACGTGCTTCCGCGCCCTTAAAGCAGGCACTTTCTCGCCAGCAGAATGTCTGGCATTTGCAGGCAGGCTCAGATGGCTAGACGCTCAGAGTTTTGGTAGACGAGGCAGGTGGGCCTTCAGGACAATTCTGGAACACGGCACCAGGCCAGGGAGGTCCAGACAGCTTCAGCTCTCGCCTCAGCTGCGTGACGCCTTAGTCTGGGTGCAGGAGAACGTTCCCACAGCAAAGCCCAGAGCGTTCAAAACACCAGCCTCGAAAGCCTACAACGTCTTCACAGACGGCTCATTTGAGGCAGGAGTAGGAAGAGTAGGAGGCGTCCTCTGCAGCCCTACGGGCACAGTCACAGAGTGGTTTCAGGCAACAGTGCCCTCAGACATGGTTCAGTCCTGGCTTCAGGAGGGCACCAGCCATTCCATCATGCAATGTGAATTACTGGCAGTTGCCGTAGCCGCCGCTCTCTGGGGAGCAGCCATGACAGATTGGCCAGTCACCTGGTGGATCGATAACAACGCAGCCTTGCATAGCCTTATAGCAGCCAAAGGCTATCCAGATTCGAACTACAGGCTGGTACAGACAGTCCTGCACTGCGAACAGGAGTTCCTCCTGCAATCGTGGATCTCGCGCGTTCCAAGCGCAAGCAACCCGGCAGACGCGCCCAGTCGCGGGGAGAGGGCAGAGTTTTTACAGCACGCTACAGAGAGAGAAATCAAGGTGGGGTGGATGAGGTGCCTCGCAAGAGGTGCTGTGCCACTTAGCCTACTGCAGCCGACTAATTGAAAGGATATTGGGGGCCGAAGTCGTCGCACGGGTCCCAGCCTTGAACAGCCGGTTTGCAGACGCTTCAGTCGCGGGAACTTGTCCGGTGGCTGTCAAGGGCGCGGGACTTCTGACAGAGGCAGACACGAAGCCCGTAGGAATGACCTGCGGAGCTTTGAACCCCACCTTGTGCAAAGAACCTCTGCCTGCATCACTCCGTAGAGTTGACATCCGTTAAGACACGTATGCTTGCATCCTGCTTTAACGGTGGACCAACGACCATTTTGGTTCAAGTTGGTCCAGATTTTCAGCCCACCCTCCACTCCCTATGAGACGGGTCATAGACCCAGCTTGGGAATGTGGCTTAGGCTTCGGAGAAGTCAAGCGCAGCCGCACAGACTTGCGCCTGCCCTGGGAGGAGCCTACTTTCAGTTTTGTGGTAAGCGACAGGTGCTTCTTGGACGACGTGCCTGCGTCTCTGCTGGATCCGCCAGACCCAGTAGCCCTGCCTACGCCGGTGTTGGAGACGGCTAAGGCCTCGCTTTTGGCTCCAGCCCAGTTGCCTCAGCCCAAACTCAGACGTTTGTCTCAGTGGAAACCTCAGGACAGTCAGGCAGAAAGGCAAGCAGCCCTCTCCAAGTGGAGTCAACTGTTGCGAGCAGCCCCTCACTTCTTCACTGAGGCGGTTCAGTTGGAAATTGTCCATGAAAACATGCAGATCGAGTTGGGAAACTTTGACCTGAGGTTCGCCAAGAAGAGCACAAACACTCTTCTGAACAGGGTTAGCAGTCTGCAGAGGTTTGCAGCCTGGGCCCTGAGGTCCTTCCCGCATGAGCCCCTGGCAGAAGCCTTGGTTTTCCTCTACTGTCAGCAACTCAGTCAGAAACAGACTGGTAGCAGTGCCCCGGACCAGCTGTGCCAGGCCCTCAACTTCGCAGGAGGGACCTTAGAGCTCAGAGTGCCTCAAAGTGACCTGGTCAGCGCCCGAGTGCAAGGACTAGCTCATCAGTGCATGAAACAACAGAAGCCACCTCAGCAGGCGCCGGCCCTAACAGCCGACCAAGTCAGGTGGCTACAGACGGTGGTTCAGTCTGATGAGACGCAGTATGAGAGATATATGGCAGCCACTTTTCTTTTCATGATTTATGCAAGGGCACGCCATAGCGACGTCAGGCGAAGCAAGCGAATCACAGTCGACAGGGATGAGATGGGAAACCCCGTCTACATTGAATGTTCAGTCTTGAATCCCAAACAGTCGAAGGCCAGTCGGCGTAGAAACCTCTTCTTGCCACTAGTTGCGCCGGCAGTCGGCATCTGCGAGCAGCCTTGGGCAGTCGAGTGGTTGTTGCTTCGCGAGCACCTTGGCTTGGTCTGCGACGGTGACATAGAGAACAGCCCCTTACTACCCGAACTCGCAGCCGACGGCAGCCTCCTTCCAGTCAACTTGGACTCAGCCACGGCTTCACGGTGGTTGCGATGCCTACTATCCAGACAACCTGGCAGCAATCAGTCAGACCTTCTGAAGTTTTCCAGTCAAGGTCTGAAAGCTACCTGTCTCAGCTGGTGCATGAAATACGCCGTTGCAGACCGTGACCAGACCTTGTTAGGTTATCACAGTCTAGGCAAGAGCTCCAGTGCCATGAGTTATGGCAGAGACGCACTTGCAGGCCCGCTTCGCACTCTTGAGGCAGTGCTAACGGACATCAGGCAAGGCAAGTTCAAGCCGGACTCCACGAGATCGGGCAGGTGGCAGACGGCGAACGCTTCAGCCTCCGCCTCCTCTGCTACGCCGCCACAACCGCTCGCAGACGTGCAGGAGCCGACCGCAGTCTCGGACTCAGACAGCTCTGCCGAAGACCTGGCCTCTGAGGGTTCTTCGGGCGAGGATACTCAGCTCTTGCACAGTGTCAGTCACAGCCTAGCCTTGGTAGCAGGCAGTGATGACTTTCAACTTTTGACGAATGTGAAATCAGGAATTGTGCATATCAGTCGCAGAGAGGCGGATCGCCTCCTTTGCGGGAGAACAGTCTTCAGTGGCCTTAAGATCGCCGCTACAGTCGATTTCGGCCGTGTACAGGCCTGTTTGACATGCCAGTCTGTGGCAGAAGGTCTTATCGCTGGGCAGTGGGCTTGTGCCACGTCCTGCTAAAGGGGGCCGAAGTCGTCGCACGGGTCCCAGCCTTGAACAGCCGGTTTGCAGACGCTTCAGTCGCGGGAACTTGTCCGGTGGCTGTCAAGGGCGCGGGACTTCTGACAGAGGCAGACACGAAGCCCGTAGGAATGACCTGCGGAGCTTTGAACCCCACCTTGTGAAAAGAACCTCTGCCTGCATCACTCCGTAGAGTTGACATCCGTTAAATGAATATATATATATATATATATATATATATGTACATATACATATTTGCATTTATGCATGTATACATATTTGCATATTTACATCTGTACATGTATACATAGAAGCATTCGCAAGCACGTGTCATGTCCCCACGGCAGAATGAACGAGGTTGCCGACAGCAGCGCCACTGAGCAGTCAGCCAAGATGCAAAACGAGTAGAGGGCGAGGGTCAGGGAATCGTAGCGACTACACTCGGACTCGGGGAGACTGGGACATGTGACAGGTACCTGTAGGCTTCCAAGGTTCAGAAGCAGCATCTTAGAAGCGGTACCGGTACACCAGTGACCCAGTACAAGCACTTCACTAGACTGAACACTATAGACTGAACCCCTAAACTTTAGCATGAAGCTCGTGGATCTCTCTAGGTCGACCTCTGCGGAAGCACCGGACGCGGATGCAGGCGACTTGCAAAAGGCTCGTCCATGATGCACCTGACACAGACCAGGATAAGCGTTTTGGTTGTGCGCGATAGCTTCCAGCTCCAGGGTCAAAGTCCCTTGCAGGAGGTGACTGCTGACATGCACGTGCCTGGAGAGGTGGAAGAGGACACCTGTCGAGACCCGTCGGTTTCAGTCCAGATGCGATTCGCGCTATCTTCCTGGGGCTTACAGAGCAGGGTCTCGATGAGCGAACAGTCTATTGAAATTTTGTCCGCTACACTTCCCTCGCTTGCCATCCGCACCAGCAAGCACTGACCGGGATCAGAGCCACCTTGCCACTGGCGTTTTTAGGTGGCTCCGATGCTTGTTGAAACATGTCGCAGCCACCAGAAATCCATCATATAGCAGGGCATCAATCAGTCCTCAGTAATGTGCGCATCTGCTGCGTAGTAGACTATGACATTGAATAGACGTTTACGTCTGTAGAAACACTTACCATGAACCACCCACCACGCATCAGTCCTCTGAGCCTAATGGCGCTGGCGATATCGTTCTTCTTGTGCTCTTGTGCTGGGGGGGAGGGGGGGGGGGTGGGGGGGGGAGGGGGAGAAAGGGGCGGGGAAGGGGCCAGGTTTGGGTGGGGTGGGCGGGGTCCGTGGGGCGGGGAACGCGTGGGAGTTTATCATGGGGTTGGGCACAACTGGGTATGGCCTGTTGGACTCGCAGACAAGGTAAGCTGCGCTAGCTTTGGTCGCGAAGAGGAGTGGAATCATCAGATCCGAGTGCTGTTAGTCGATTCCGGCTAAACTTGCGGGTACACAAATGGACGACTGCCTAATGCGCAAGTGACAACACTGGGGAGGGATGGATCTAGCTGCAAGCACCTAGCTTGTAGTGTCAGCGTCGTTCGTACGTTGCGATTTCGAGCTCGAGCATCGTGTCAGAAGTACAAACTCTGAAATCATCCAACAGTGGCCCTGTCGTCAGGGAATACATCATCTTCCGGCCATCCAAACCTTTCTTTTGCAGCATGGGGTGACCATGAGTTAGTTGTTGCGCACCCGTGAACCTTTTTCTGCTCACCGCCATGCCCCAAGATGCGTAGTTGCCAGATTCCAAAAACCATCATGGGTTGAGCTTCGGGGTGATGCGGTCTCACACCATCCAGTAGTTGTTTTCCTGCAGCAACGTTCATGCCATGCCCTTCTTCGACGTCCACGGAAGTTGGGCCTCGAGCTCACGTGCCGGCCCTTCTCATTGCTGCCTACGCAGCACCTGGCATCGGTTTTGGAGCGTCGCAGGTCATGGTCGCACAGCTGCATTTGCATTTGTATTTGCAAGTCATAAAAAATCACATCAATGGCAAGACAAAACTTACACATTGGTCCGTGAAGTGCAATTGCCGGGTCTTTTGCTCTCAATCCGTAAGATGTCTGGGATGCTCAGGTCAGCTTGTTCCTGCCAGCATTCTATGCAGACACTCTTGGCGTGCCGCTGGGACAGATTGGGGCTGCAACCACCGCAGTGCAGATCTTTGACGCCATGACCGATCCACTGTTGGGCCACATATCTGACAAGTGCAGGGCTACGTGTGGTCGACGCAGGCCCTTCCTGCTCATTGGAGGACTTGGCCTCGCAGCATCCTTCGTGACTCTGTTTCCTGCACATTCCTTCAGGTGCTGTTTTTGGCAAGTAAGTAGCATGTACTGGCCCATATTGTTTTGGAATAAACTCGCTGGCCACGAGCCATCGTCAGGTTCTCGCCCCCCGACTTCCGAAATCCTTCTTCTGCACTCGTCTTCGTCACAGCTTTGGGCTTGGCCACGCAATTTTTCTTGACGGTCGCCCGCATACCGTGGACAGCATGGGCAATCGAGCTTACCTCTGAGTACGATGAGAAGACAAAGCTATCTTCAGTGCGGGAATTCATGTGGGTGCTTGGAGCTATGCTCGGTGCAGTGCCGAGGTTCGAAAAGCAGTGCAACTTCGACCTAGGCGACTGCAGTCGTTAGACATGTGTACAGGTTGACTCCATTTAGTGTTTTCGTTCTCGAACATGCATACTAGGTCCTACCCAGCATCATGGGGACAATCGTTGACGAATCACAGCGGCTTTCCCTTGCTGCTGGCTTTTGGGCCGTGACTATCGTGGCCAGCAGTGCACTGTGCTTCTGCTGTGTGCGCGATGAAGTCCCGTCAGCTCCAGGCAGGCGCTTTGCTCTCAAATACGCTCAAATAGTTCGGGTCCTTCCGGGTCCTTCCGCAAATTGTATTCTAGGCTTCTGAACGACACCTCCTGCATCCAGTCCAAACAGGTGACAGCGCCCACACCGTGAGCTCTCAGATTGCCTTCGCTCGCAGCATTGCTTGCAGCCGGGCAGGCGCAGCACTTTACGCCGCCACTGTTTTGGTGATCATGGCCCCTTGGGTTCTGAGAAAATACTAGGATTTTTGGCAACGGCTTTCTGTGGAGTGGAGGGGTAGAGGGCCAGTCTAGCGCCCGACAAAGCATCACATCAGTGTGTATCACGACACGACTGTAACCTGTAACTGTAAATGGCACTTCTCCTTGACACCGGCATGTGTCATCCTCGACAGCGCAACGTCCTTCCAGGCAACTTCCAGCAATGCAATTCTGTTCCCCTTTTTCGTGAAGTACATTCTCCAAGATGAAGGTGGTACAGAATGGCTGCTTGCCACAGGCACAGAGCAGGTCCGGCTAATCCATTCCAGTTTTAAGTCTTTTCTTAAGATGTTTGCTTGTTGCTTGTTGCTCAGCGCATCTCAGCAGAAGAAACAACTGGCATTGTTCTCCTTGTTCCTGTTGAGCCCCTGTTAAAGACTCAAACTGTTTTCGTCTCCGAAAGTCGTAAGAAGAGAGTCTCGAGGCTGCTGGGGCTCTACATCTTCCTCGGCGCAGTGTTCGTCCCGTGGCAGAGTTCAGGGCTTTATCGCATTGAAAGTTCCATTCGCCCCCGGATCCCTCGAGCACCCCTTAAGGCAAGCCTTAAGGTGCCTTTCTGGGCATGGGTGGCCAAGCAAGCCGACAAGAAGCGGACCTTGGTCTTCATCACTTTGGTACAGTCTCCTGGCACCTCCTGGGACAACAGATGACTGACTATCTACCTAAGCAGCTGGAGATCAGTAGGGCTTTGAAAAGCCATTCTTGTGAAGAGTTTAGAAGTTTGCCTCAAACTAGCCTGAAGGAAGAACCGACCTGGCTTTATGTCTTCGTTCATCGTCAAGAACCCTTGGACCCTTGAACTGCGGCGGTCATGTTCTCTTCGTCTGTGTTTCCCGCCAGACGATCTCGAGTGGTCCCGAAGGTGCCCCCATATGATCCTGCAGTCAATGATGCAGCAGCACGTATAATTTTCTCAAGGGCGACACAACCAAGGAATGCACACCAAACAAGTTGCACAGATGATCCAAGTACTTGTAAATGGTTCTGGGAAAAGCCTTTGTCGTAGCATGCCTGTGCCGTTAGATCTCGCCCTTGCAGCCCCGAAGCCAGCTCTGAATGCTGATCCCGGAAGTCCACCGCTGAGCTGACAACCCATTCAGCCACGTTTACGACAAATGTCACAGCTTCCGACCTTCAACAAGCTGGCTAACCCTTATGCCACATACGAGAGAAGCCGGGAAGCCTCTTTGGGATCTCAGGTCGTCAGTGTTGCTGTTGATCTTTGCGGCCGTTGACAGCGGGGCTTTCAGCACCTACGTTGCCTGCATCATCTCGGCAGGACCTGTGAAACTGTTGAAAAATGTGAGTGTCAATGCTCTTCCCAGACCCCGTTGTACGCTCAACACCTGTAAACTATCTCAGTGACAGAACCTCATTCAAGTCAACCAAGTTTATTCTTTTAAGGGCTTAAGCTTCAGTCACTGCAGCTTGTGAAGCGAGTTGAGAAGTCGCTGGCATCAATCAGCCAGGGCAGCGGAACCACATGCGGTCACGAAACATGCGCTCTGCTGATGCCTGAGAGCTGCAGCTCGGTTTTTTGAAGCTAGTTGCACATCAGGATCCGTTATGGGGGGGAGCGCTGTGGTCCGCTTCTCCATGATGGCAGACGTGGCAGATATGCTGCAACTTCAGACCGGAGGGGGTCGAGATGAAGGCCCGAACCTGGTTTTCAAAGCCATCAAAGTACACTCGGAGGGCCGGGGGGAGGGGGGAGGGAGTAGTGAACACGGCGGGAGTTTTTTTGTTGCTTTGGCAAGCTCTTCCTCGCCGGCTATTGCGTTGCAGGCAAAATTGTTGGCCTCTTCGATGTATCCGCAAAATTGGCTGCATCTGGGTTGGTGGCACTTGGATTCCTGGCAATCGACCTCTCTGGCTACCAGGCACAAGCTATTCTCAGGCTTCTGAACTTACTACGAGCCAGGCTGCAGATTGGATGGTTTGGGATTTGGGGATCGTTGAGTTGCCATTACTTGAATGTTGCATGAGCGTCTTGCCAAAGCCCACATAGTCGATTCCTCGCAGGGTTGTCGATGTGCAGTGTTGCTGGCTTCGCTGGAACAGCAAAACCACGTCACGCCAAACGTATCAAAACACTCTCGTCAGCGTCAGCGACTATTCTCAGCCCCAGGGACAGCATGCATAACGCAGCGCGCCTCACAGTGACGACGACGATAGTGCTTAATGTGCAGCATAATTAGTACACTCTCCAGTGTTTCCTCAGAGGTGCTGGATGCAGAAATAGAATCGTGCCCTGATGCAAAAATCCAAATGAGCACGCAACAGGCCTGCGTAAGGGTCTTCCGCTGCGCAGCGATATTTGTTTACCCACGCTTACGGGCCCTCACTCAGAGCGCATTTCTTTTAAAACCGGCAAGCCATCCAAGCCTCGCCTCGGAGGTAGACGCCATGCCTCAGACGGCAGCAGCAAGCTTTGCCATCCGGCTGTTTTATGCTCCTGGGACGGCAAGCCGTGATTCATGCGTTGATCCTGGTCGTTTTCCTCTGCAGATGAGTGTTTGTGCTGCATCGGCCTGACCAATAAAAAACGAGTACTTGGCCACCAGGATGAAGCCAGGCGTTTGTGCGCTTTTGGAAGGAGAAGCAAACAGCAAGGGATCATGTTTCGAAACTGCCAAGGATCCTTGAGTAGCAGTGTCACTGTTGGGTGTCCATAGAGTAAGGACTGGCTGCTTAGTAACTTTTGGTGGACACTGGGTGCCTTGAAGATGTTTTCTTGAGTCATTGGTGCTTGCAGGTTTACATGTCATGAGATAAGTCGCAGGCCTTGGTGCCAAGCATCTTGGCGCTCTTCTCTGCGATTGTGATTTGGACGCTGTCCCCTGGCCGAGTTTTGGAGTGCAGAGCTTCGGGGGTTGAGGGTATTGAGTGTATTGAGGTCCCGTTCGCATGTTCGCCTCTTGCGATCGGCTCTTTCATCGCTGGCAACTGAGAATGTCAAGTGAGGTATCCGCTCAATCGGGCGCAGCATGCTGAGATTCTGGCGAAGCTGAGCTTCTCTGCCTCGTTTAGGAACCTGGGCTTCCGCTTCGGTAGCACATGTGTCCACATATTCGTCACCATGAGGCTTGTATGCCGACAGGCAGCACCACTCAATCAAATTGCAAATGACTTGTCATGCGGCTTTTGCTTTTTTTTCTTGTGACCTTTTCAGCTAGATCTCACAAGCTTCTATCTGCGACAACTGCTTGCTTGGCCATTGAAGAGACTCCTTCCCCCAACATAACATGCAGATGATGCAAAAACAAAAGACGTTCGGGCCGTTGCCAGCATTCATGCGCCTTTCGAAGCCCGGTAATTGAAGCGTCTCCTCAACCATATATTGAAGCCCAAGCATGGAACCCGAGTGGGACATCCTGCATGTATGCCACAACCACCTTAACCTTGGCCAAAATTCAATCATTTGTCGGGCCCAAGCCTCTCGCCTCGGAATCCCCACCTTGTCATTCTCTGAAGCGCGCGGAGCCAGCCAAGACCTCCGAAAACCCTGAGCTACTGGCCGCAGCCCAGGAGCGTTAGCACTCGCAAGCTCAACTTCGAAAACGCAGGTTGCTGATACGAGTGGGGCCAGCTAATGCGGGAGTGGCGCAGCTACGTGTCTCCTGATTTGAGGAAGTTGGTGAGATGGGCTGTCCGTGGTGGCCGTGCTCAATAGCATGCTGCGCATCTGGCTTCACCCCGATACTTTCAAACTTTCTGGACGTCCAAAGCAAGCCGGGGCAAGCATGCAGGAGCTGAGTCACTCTTCACGAGGAGTTAAGGTAGGCATGCGTAAAAGCCAGGGAATTGGCATTAGGATGTAGTCATCGCACAAGTTTTTCGCCTGCTGAGCTGCCAAAGGCACATCAGGATTGGGCGATCAACCCGATGCGTGACAAAACCTGGGCAGAGCACACACGTAGCGGGGGTGGGGGAAGGGGGGGGGGGGGGGGCGGGGCCCTTTGGCCCTCAGAGCCGTGCTTTCTGTGCCTCTCGAGGAGCGGGAGAGGGAGACCCACTATGAGCGCCGCAGGCGAGAGCGTCGAAGGCGGCGTGAGGAGCGAAGTTGGGACCTCAAGACGACTTTGCAGCCTTCGGAAAGGGCTTGGGGCTTTGCATGGTCTTTGCATTCCTAGCATGTCTCACAGTTTAAGGTACCTGGGGGCCTCCGGCCTCGGGGGCTTCAGGGCCGCTTTTCGTCACTGTCGTTCACTCTCAAGAAGCCGATTGCTGAGGCTGGGATTTCGACCATGCAGAGAAGCTCCAGGCACAATTCGGGGGCTGCAGATCAAGGCAAATTCTGCCAGCAAAGGCTTCTGGAGGTGTTGTGGCAGAAAGGGCCATCTTCAAAGTGCAGAACGACTGCATGGAGTTAGAATCCTCAAGCCGGAGCACCGATTGAGGAATTTGGGGCGCCAGCAGCATCTTGCATTGCTTGTTTAAGAGTGTTCATGAAAGTTTCGGGGGAAGGCTGTGTCTGCCCCACACACCCCGAACCCTGCACAAAGTGAAGAGAAATCCAATGCTTCCCTCAACTTCCCGCAGCTGCAGCCCCCTTCGATCTCCGACCTTGCCGGGTTAGATGACTTGCTGCAGAGCCAGAGCCGGGGTCTCAGGCTTCAGGACTTCGTGGCAGTCGCAAGGGCATCGCTTCAAGCTAACAAGGTTGCAAATCCATGTTCGGATTCGGTGCGCATAATAATGGTACGTCCTGAAAGCAATCTGCGCAAAGGGACGGTAAGATCACGTCAGACTTCTGTGGAAGAGATGCTTGGAGCTGACCCGAGAAGCACAAGTGCACGGCACATGTACACGATCCGCAAGTTTGGCTCTGCAGCTGATGCGACCCATCACTGCAAGGCTGGGATAGCGCAAGCTTTGATTGATTCCTTCTTTGCATTCATGCCCATGTACAGTTGGGTTCTGTACTCTTACGGGCTAATTTGTCAAAGGCTCATCTTTGGTGGGGCAGAGGTCGGCCTACCGCTTCTCGTAACTCGCAATATGCTGCACATCAGGCACGAGAAGCGTTCGGCACAACAGGCAATAGGTCCGTCATGCACTTGAACACCGAAGTCGCATCTTGAAACCCATCCAAATCCATCAAAGACGCCCCCCCGCCCGTGTGCCTTCCGAGAGTGGAAATGAACGCCGTGAAGCCGAAGCCATTGTCAAACCCCCAGTTTCCTCGCAGGCAATGGGTGGGTCATCGTCGAAGCGTGCTGCCCCTTGGACGTGGTGTCTTCTAGCCTTTTAGTTTGAAGCTTTTTTGGGCTATTCGCAGTGGCAGGGCAAACTGGCAGGAGGTCTATGGCACCTTGCACCTTGCCTGGTGAGGTCAGAACTGGCACCGGCGAGCGCGATCGAATTGCGCCTCAGCCAACCAACTTACGCGGCTGAAAGCTCTCAGCACTGCCATCCTTATTCGGAACTTTGGTACTTCTCCTGGCATCTGCACCCATCTGTACAACCGAAAACATTCTTTCCGGCACCGGCCCTGCAAACGTTTCAGTCGTAGGAGGTTGAAGTTCAGATTCAGGCCCAGGCCAGAGAAAATGTGGGACTTCGGACTTCCGACGGACTTCGCTGCTTGTCGACGGCCCAGATTTGCGCGGGCTTCAGAACGACTCAAGGTTCTTGTACCCTTGAGAAACAGCACACACGCCATGACAGGACGAGATATCTCCATGGGCAGATGTGCGATTGAAACGTACGCTTGGTAGTTATGGGGGGGGGGGGGGGGGGGATGATAACTTATTGGATGAGCAGGGAGAGGTAGTCTTTGCGCGGTGTCCCCTTTATGGGATGAGGGGCAGTCTTTGCAAAGACTCGGTCGAAGCCGAAACCCGAGGCGAGCAGTGCGAGCCTAAGAGCGTTGTCAGCGTCCGTGTGACCCGAGGTGCTCTTTGGTGATTCCATCACCCAGCAGCACCTCAGCTGCACCGGAAAACCGCCTACTCCCTGAACTAAGCCCCAAAGCCCTAGCTGACGCCATTGTGTTGGTTGTGTTGCAGTTTTGGCCGGGTAAAAGGTGGGGTATGTGGTGGCGTGCGGGCAAGCCAGTAACAGCAGCAACACCCGACGCTTATGCCCAGGATTCGTTTGACAGAATGAACTTGTCAACTTGTCAACCTCTGCCACGTTGCTTTGAGGTCATTCTCCCCGGAGGGTGGATGGGGAGCCACGCTTGCGAACGTCTACCAAAGGCCAGAGTTGGGGGTAGTGGCTTGTTGAACATAGTCTGAGCAAGTCCGCTAGCAAACTCGGCTTTTGGGGACCTTGTGAACGCTGGCGTGGCAGAGTGTGCAGGGTCATTTGTTGGTGCGGCGGGCTGGTGTAGCTGGTTCGAAGAATCCGCGTCCGCAACTAGATGGCATGCCGCCTGTCTTGCGCTGTGCCGCTGATAGAAGACCGGATGTAGCTTCCATCTATCCCTCTTACACCTGTGTCTTCGCCCCTCGCGTAGGGTTCCCTGCAGATTCAGGCTGTGTTGCGCAACGCTACTAGCCGGCCCTCCTGAGCACCGGATTGCGGGAAGCACAGGAACATCATGCCCAGTGAGCGAACACAGCTCGGTCAGTAAAGCCGGTGACAGGAGACTGATCAGACTATTCCCCCATGCCCTTGCCGATCGGGCTCCTACATTTTCCGATCAGGTTTCCCGATCAACGCCTTACCTAGAGCTCGGCCCTCTTTCTTCTCAAGGATCGTTTGCCAGTGCGCTGTCAGCGTCTGTCAGCGTGTTGCACGCGATTGCGGAAGGCTCGGACTCTGAGAACTCCACACACGTCACCCGCCATGCTCGCGAGCGGCAAACTCAAAAGCACGCAGCGTGCTGCGACGTCAGGGGCGACAAGAGTTACGTCTCGTCTTCATGTGAAGTATGGACTCTGCGTTTCATGCACAACAGACAGAGAAACAAATTCATTTCTCGCTGCCACGGGATGCCTCTTCTCTGTGACTGGCGCCTTGGCGCAGCAAGAGACCTACAGGGGGAGGGGGGGGGGGGGGGGGGGGGGCGGGCTGTGTCGTCGCTGCAATACTTTTGTTGGGACGAGTGTGCAATTCTTGCAGCATTCAAAGGTTTCTGTCCTTGCAACGTGGAGATGTGGCCGCAGGCATGCTACAACCAACAAGAGTCAAGGGCTTCGCTATCAGCATGGCTTGCATCCCCAGTTGCAAGTGCTGTGCATGTGCTCGAGGTGCAAGTTCTATGCTTTGTTGGTCGGGAGAAACACTTGAGTCGGCTTGAGATAGCTGGAGTGAAAATGTCAAACCCCCATGAGAATGTAGGCGCCGTCCCAGGGGAAACTTGTCTTTGCATTCAGTACAGATGGCGTAGAGGTGTAGATACCCTTTGTGCGGTATATTGTCGAGCTATTTGTTCGTCAGGAGATGTGACGTGCTGAATCGGGGCTACAGCCCCTTGGCAAAACACAACAGCATGGGCGTCATGCTGCATGTGTGGAGACAGGTGATCTGCTGGAAGCGCATTTGTTCATCGATAGCAAATCCGGAATAGTTTCAGCCAAAAGATTTAGCTTCGGCTCCCACAGAAAAAAGAGTTCAGGCAGACTAGCTTTCACGGTACGTAGCTGAAGTACAGACGGCCGAGGTGGTTACACTACGCGCAGTGCTTTGGCCATGTTGCAGTCAGGAGCAGGACAGGCACCCAGCAAGTTTAACCAGTTTGGGGCGCGGCTTCAGCTTCCAATACTGGGATCATCGGATCATCGCAGAAGTTTCGCGAGGGGGGGGGGGGGGGGAAAGGGGGGGCGTGGGCATTTCATTAGCAGGACCCAGGCTTCGAAGATGTAAGCCTTTAGGACTCTAAGCCGTTCTGTGCCAGCTACACTGCATTGGCACATATTCCTTTCTCTAGGTTGTACTGCATGGTAAATCGGAACGAATGCTCGGTTTCGATATTGTGGTTTTAGATGCCTTTCGTGCAGCAGTCGGACATCACCTCGAGTACAATCAGTACACATTCTCCGGGCCCTGAGGCGTAGCAGATTCAGGATGCAGGAGTTTAAGGTATGCAGTTCCCGGTATCTCTCCACAGCCGAGGAGTGCCCGAGGATCTGCCCTCCTCTGACAGCCCAACTCGCCTGGTCACTGCATCCGGACTGCCAATTTATCAGCGCATGCGTTTTTTGCTTTACGCTCCTCATGCAAGGCCAAGCTTTCCGCCTGTGCCTGTGGAGTCAAGTAACCAGTTGATGATGTGGGCCAACATGAGCTGCAATGTGAGAATCTGCAAGCGTACAAGAATCACGTCCACGTGGACCCAGATGACTCTGAACCCAATTCGAGCCAAAAGACTTCAGGAACAGGAAATGTGGCGCTCGAAGAGAATGCCACTGAACCATAAGATGTTCGGAGACTCCCAGGCTACCATTGTCCTCTTTACCCCTGGTTTTCAGATTCATTGGTACCTTACACATTTCTTGAGTCGACGCTTTGTTGTGTTTCATGCTGAGGTCTTCTTCGGCGCAAACGACGCCTCACTCTTAGAGGAGAACCCGAGGCAGCATGCCCACTGCCAGCACATAAAGCAGTTTGTCAGTTTGTTGATTGGTTTTGTATACTTCACAAGTCACGCTCAGCCCCTAAACCAGCTGCTGCGAAAAGCTGCGCCAATGAACAAAATAGGGTGATCCAAGTCCTAAGCATAACGATGAGAAACAAGAGGGAGGCTTCACAGAGTCTACCGAAATTGCTGTAGGCCACAGAGTCCCCCTCACTGCTGCAGGCCGCGGTCTGCTTGCTTTGGGATTGGTTTTCGGCCGTTCAAGATGACTGGACTTCTAAACTAACAACCGTAGATACCACAGATTCTGTTCAAAGCATCATGAGCCGGCATCAGGTCCCACTTGAGGAGTATAGCAAGAACCTCAAGGAGATGGTGGAGATTATCAGGCCACCACCGAGCTCCCAGCATCGAAAGACCAAGTCAGCTGCATTGAGCCCCCGCATTGGCCCCCCGAAGTTAAGCTGCACCTGAGGCGGCGCGTGCCATCCGCAAGTATCCTTGTCATTACCCCACCACCGGTTTCCAGGCTGCTTTTGGAGAAGACTTTCTGTTTCCTTACAAGGGCCAACAGAAGTAGTCAGTCTCCTGGATGTGTTATCCACGTGTTCTGAGATACAGCGAAGGTTTGCCAGGACAAGATTCTGGCGTTTCAGAAGGCGCGTGTCATGGTATTGTCATGTGTCGTCGGCCAAAGCCCCAATCAGACCGTTGCACTGCCAGGAGAAGTTCAAAGACAAAGCCAGCGGCCGTCCAGAGCGAACGAACGCCTTTTGGCGGGCATTTTTGTTGCTTGGTTCAGAAATGAGATGAGAAGGAATCCTGGCAGAGCCCACTGGCTTAAAGGGTCGGTCCGTGGGCCTGGGAACATTCGGCTTTCAAAAGCGTGTGGCTTGCGATTCTTTGACTTGAGGCCCCCCTTGTAAAGTTGCGTCACCCATGGGTTCATTTTGTCCCAGAAGCCGATTTGAAGAGGAGATGGCGGGAAAGTACGCCGCAGCTGCTGCGCAGACTGCAGAGGCACGGGCCCACAGCACTCACCGCTTGTGTGCACGGCATTTAAAGTTGAATCGTTAAATCCAAAGGATGCACAGAAATTGCGGACCATGCAAGCATTCCGGTATGGATCATTATGGATGTCCAGTAGCATTCACCACCTGTGCGGTGCTGGATTTCACACAGCTTCCTGATATATCCGGTGCTCCACAAAAGCAGCGGTCTTCATTGTTGAGGGCTGCCTATGGGTGCGCTGTCAGCGAACACACTGTGTAATGCCGTGGATGATAATTGCACATATACATCCTGCTGGTACTGAGTCGACTGTACTTCGAAACCTTGAGATGCTCCACGTCTGAGTCTCGAGCTTGGTTCTACCACCAAGCCTGCAGACGGCCTCGAAGCTGTGCTCACATCCGAGGGACTGGGGCTCTGCTTTGCGGAGAGCCAGGGACATGTGTAATTGAAAACGGTGACACACAAGAGATCCAAATCGCGAATAGGCTCCAGACAACTATGCAGTGCGAAACGGGAGGATTTGCATGTTGTGGAAGCTACGGGGCCCAAGGTGCTGATTCTGCTTTTATGAGCCACTCCCCCCCCCCACCATCCCCCACCTACTGCGAGATTCAGAGCCCCAGACTGCACCTGGCATTGGACTCCTGGAAATCAGGAGCTGGGCCTGCCAGCTTTGAATTTGTGGCGTCTGATGCAGGAAGCTAGGCGGCATCAAAGCCCAGGCTTTTTGTTCTTTGTCAGTGGTGCCGACTTCTTGTTTGAGATGATCTCCTCGATCTTGCCTCCGCGCCCCTACACAGGGAGAGCACGTGCACGTTGAAACCATATTCAAACATAATGCATTGTCATCTTTTGTCACCAAGGACGTGAATGTTTGGCCGGACTTTCTCTCTGATGGACTCCATCTCTCCCCGACAGGCCCTCGCAGTGCAGACGGTCCACTGCATGATCGGATGATAAAAAATGCTGGGGGGAAAAAACACTTCTAGATATTGGGAAAGTTATGGGGAAGAGCTGCCATGCTTTGAGACCTCGAGAGGCAAGGGTGTCTGTGCATGGGTGCGTATTACGGAAATGCTCCGTAAGGTCGTGACTGAGGCATGGCTCTCGAAACCGTCGCTCTTCTGTCGACTTGTATCGGTTCGTGGGCTAGGTTGTTAGAGGCATCCCGAATGCTTCCCGGAGATGACTGCAAGATGAAAACTTCTGCGTTCATGGATTAGGATGTAAGCAGCGTGGTGCTGCATAGTCAGCATGTCAGTGGGGCGAAGTGGCGCTCAGTTGTCCCCAGGACAAGAGAGGACCAAGACCTGGAAGGATTTGCTGAAGTTGTTGTAAGGAATCGTAAGGACCGTCTGCCTTTGCATGCTGCATCTTTACAGCAAGCCGTGTGCGTTTTGCGTTTCATGTCCATTTCTGGGTAGGCAACCAATTTGTAGCCAATGCGCTGCGGGACAAGATCGCCGAAGCCTTCCCTGATCTGGTTGTTGTCCCATGCCAGTACACGGGGCAGTTCGGCGCCTCAGCGGCACAGGAGGAAACCTTGGAAAGAGTCGTATGCATTTGCTGGCTGCAAGCTGCTTGAAGCATACTAGTCGTAGAAGGAGTAGTAGTCGTTCGTAGACGTAGCGATAGTAGTAGCCGTAGTACTAGTAGTACATGTTGTGACCCCTGGAGAAGCAGACGCGAGCATCACTGCACATGAGCATGCTACCAAAAAGAATGGCTCACAATCCTTTGGTCCTGACCACAGTGAGATTGTGTTGCATTGGAGGAGAACAGACTGGGAGCATCCTTGGACCCAGGAAATGTGCAGACCTCACGGTATTGTCATACTAATCACAGCCAACCTGAATTCTTGCGACAGCTTGCCCCAGCCTTCTGCATCCAAACACAACGTAAACCGTAAACGCCGTAAGCCGTAGAAGCCTGAATCTCGGGCGTTTGCTTGTTCTAGACATGGTCCCTGCTTCGAAAATAGATCCCCCTAAGCCATCCGAAAGATTAGACAAAATTCAGACTCATAAGGCAACTCGGGTTCGAGCTGCGACGGCGTGGCAACGGACTGCCCTTGGTGGGATGAGGTGAGCCCAGACACAAGACAAGGGGAGGGGAGAGGGGGGGGGGGGGGCTGATCCAAATTGCAGGCCTAAGCTCCATGTCATGCAAATCTCAGTGTACAATTTCATGGTCTGCAAAAAGCTCTAGGAAATGGAACCCAAGGAATAGAATCTAGGCGTTGAGCAGAAGAGAGAGACGGGCTCCTGTAGAGAGACTTTCTGTTGACAATACCCTGAGATCGAGGCGTTCCTTCAGATGATGTCTCATTTCTTTCACGCATCAGACCCACAGGAACAGCCCAAGGGTCGGGAACTCCTCTTCAACACAACATATCATTCTGAAAGCCCTATACGTGTGAATTGCTGTTCACCCAAAGGGCGAGTGGGGGGAGCGGCGCGGTTCGGCTTAAGCTTTTCCAAAAGCTTGTGAACCCCTTTCGGAAGGTCCGTGAATTCTTGGAGATGCAACCTAAAGCCCTGAACGGTTCGCATGGTGGCGCACACAAATTCTTCTGCAAGAAGCTCTGAACTCCGCGACACTCCCATCCCACGTGCCTCCTCGGTCCGGTCTTGATTCCTGTCGATGACGTGGCACCTTTGCAAACCTTGAGCAACATTGAAGAATCTGGGGCGCAGGGCTTGGGAATCTTCCGTATTTCTCGCCTTGAATAGAAAAAAACCTTTCGAATCGTCAGCTAATGATTTACAACGCAGGTTGACCATGACTGCCCGGCCAACTCCTTCGCAGCCTGCAAATGATGCCGACGATAAGGGAAATCTGTGAGACGGGCATTCAACAGGAGCACTGAAGGTTTCTCCTTAAGAGCCTCAGCCCGTGTGGTGGACATCTAGCAGCCGAAAGATCTGCGCGCGTTAGCTTCAGAGCAAAGGCCCTTTATGAGGTTTGCGTGCAGGTTTCCAGACTCGGAGGAGCCCATCGATTGCGCGGAAAAGAGAGCGATGGGGAATCACCACAAGCATGCTGCAGCATCAGGGCGGGCCTTAAGTTGCGAAGCCCGGTCATCCGAATCAAAGCCCCCCAAGTTCACGAGGGCCCCGGGCAACAATGTCTTGCGCAAATCGATGCCACGCGCCAAAAGTGCGCCTTTCCAACAGAGGTAAGATGGGCCTCTTGGTCGGCTGGCTTGTTGGCCGGCTGGCCGCCTTTCTGGCGTCCCTGGTCGCAGCCAGGTGCAATCCTTTGTAGAGTTCAGAGATGTTGGGCAATTGGCAATGATTCTGGGGCCTTTGGGGGATCTTGAGGGCGGTTCGCAGTTCCATGATGCGCTCTTCAGGTTTGGGTGGTGTTGGCCCCCCCTGCCAGGTTGGCTGCTCCACTTCCAGGATTGCTTTCGGACAGAGACGACGCCCAGGCAAAAGCCGCTTTCGGTTGCGGAAAGGCCTTCAGAAATAATTTGGATTGGCTCTGCGGCTCTCCGCCAGCGAATGTCCGAGCGGCTTGTTGAGACCAGGCTCCTGGGCTCAGGGTGCGAAGATGTTGTTTTTTTCGTTTGATTGGACGCCACATCTTTCGCCGAGGATTTCGACTGGTCATTCCGACTTTTGCTCGTGTGACAACGTCGATGCGTGCGGGTGCAAGGGAATGGTCGACCACTGCTGTGGTGTGCCCAGACTTTTGATTTTACTTTCAACTTTTGCCTCCTGCGAAGGCTGCGGTCACCCCGTTGCAGTGGTTCTTGGCGTGCTTCGCTGCCGCGATGCTTGGCAGCAGGGGCCCCAGAAGTTGCGCAAGCCATCTCCTGTACTGAGTCTTTGTACTGAGTTTGCACTGCCAATGAAATGCACAAACAACACTGTAACACTGTCTCTTCCGGGGGCTCGAAATAACATTGGCCCCGGCCGAGTGCGCGAGTTTTCACAGTTCCATGCCATGCCGTGCGCCAACCGGCCATGCCATGTCCATGGCGTTTCTCTCTGGAGCCGTTTGTAGGCGTCTGACAGTTGAAGGGTCCCACGTCTCAGTGTTCCTTGAAGTACCAGTTGGCGACGAAGACTACGACACCTTCAAGGGCCTCAATCGTTCGCAAATCGCCCCTATCAACCAAATAGAACAATGCAATGGCTTTTCCTGGTGCTGGCTCTGACCGGCACAGCTGCGGACTTCTACGAGCCCTGCACGCCTGACCAGGCCCTGCAGGCACTGAGCAAGGTTCAGGCGATGGACCCCGTGTCCGATGAATTTGACATGTTTTGTCAAGCCTGCAGCGACGCGCAGGTTTGCTGCGGCTGCTTCTCAGGAGTTCTGGGCCTGTTGAAGGGGGTGCGCCACGAGCTGGCAACTCTGAAAGTGCTGCGTCAAGTTGACGTGCAGAAGCTACGGAACATGTCCGCGAGGTTGGGAAAATACCAGGTGAAGCTGCGCCGTGGCCCCGAAACTCCTGGCCTTGCAACACTTGCAAGAGCTCGGGCAGCCTTGAGGAAAAAGTTTGCGGACGCCCAAAGCACCTATCAATTCACCAGCGGCGTGGCCCTGCGCCTGGCGGATGAGCGAGACCTAGGCTTTCGGGGCGACAAAACTGCATCCTTGATGAGCGAGATGTTCTGGTACTTCAAGGAGGAACAGACCATGCCGGTTTACAACCTGCTTGTGCAAAACCACAACACGTGCTTGCCGGACATCTTTGCCGGCAAGTGCGAGCAGCGCCATTTTTCCATCTTCGAGGAGTTTCCGTCGATGCAAGGACCCGCAGAGGATGGCTTCATGCTGGACTTTCTTGGCATATCGATGCCTATCGATGCTGATTGTCAAAAGAAGCAGTTCATGTTGCTGGCGCCCGGTCGAACGATGCAGTGCCAATACTATCAGGCCGGAATGACACTTCCTCGGGTCTGGCCGGTGCTGGACGAAGAGTATCTGGAATGGGCGGATAGCCTCACAACTGCCGTGCAGGCAGCACAAGCTGGCCGGCCATTCCGCATGGCTGAGCTGGGCAGCGGGCCCTATGGCATTTGGGCCATGCGTGCGGCAAAGGCCTTTGTCAAGCATGCTGCGCCTGACCTCCCCTGTGAGCTCCTGCTTGTTGAACCTTTTGCCCTTGGGGATGGGTCTCTTCTGCGCACCCACACAGCCATGAACTTGCCGCCGAACCGGTGCAAGTTTGTGGTGCACACAGAGCCCGTCAACACGAATGACCAAGTCAAAGCCTTACTTGGTTCTGGTGTTTGGGATCTTGTTGATGTTGATGTTGATGGTGCTGAGCAAACTATGCTGCCAGGCTTGTTCGGCTGGCTGTCAACAAGAGTTCGACGCCTGCATTTGTCAACGCACTCGCGGCAGATTCACTGGGACTTCATGGAAGGGCTGCAAAGAGATGGCTGGGAGGTCCAGGCCCATTATCCCACACTGTCTTTGGTGGGACTTGAAGACAAGGGTTTGGGACGATTTCTGAATTGCGATGGCCATATCAGTGCGCTGCCCCGCTTTTGGCAGTGGAGATAAGAGAGTTTCTCTCTTCAAAGAGTGTTGGGATCGCCAAAAAAGGCGCAAGCGCGGAAAATGAGGAAGGTTGTGAGAAAGTGGAAAAGACGTATTAACGGAAAGAAAGATAAAGGGTTACATTAAATTCACTGTCTTTATTCACTTCTGTTCATTGAAATCTTATGGTCACTTTTCTTATTTTTGTGTGATAGTACTATTATTCGTGTTCCTTTTACCTTCATTTTAATATTAGTCTATTCACCTTCTCTTTCTTTCGCACGCGTATTCTTTTCACTTACTTCATACACTTTCCTCATATCTTTCACGTTGAGAAGAGAACACGCATGAAACGAGTGTTGGGATCGCCAAAACGGGAGATGAACATGGCCAAGCTGACCGCAGTGCCCGCCACAAGCATGCGCCAAAAGATGGTTCTCAAAGCGCCAACCCAGGTCCAACCAAACAAACCCTCAGCAACCTAAGCTGTAGTAAGAGTCCCGGAATCACTGAACACCCCTGTGAACACTCCCTTCGAAGGTCTGGCAGTTTCACGGATGGGAGGCCAACCCAACTGGAAGATCGGTTGCCGGGCTCTGAGATGTTAGCCCAATGGAGCGAGCCATTTTAGGCAAGCTTCCGAACTCCTCGAGAGATTATGTTACGTATTTTCTCTTTTGCGTTGTCATGTGCATCAATGATCCTCATTCAGTAGATTAGATCAGCCCGCGGCTTTGCAGAGCTCCTCACGGAAGAGTCATGGGGTAATATCTTGCGTCGTGGTTGCGGCCATCTCATGAGTCATCATGAGTCTCTTCAAAAAGTGCAGCAAGTACATTTTGCCCAGGTGTCGCTGCATGGGTCTTCACCTTGGTGGGCTAAGACCTTTTGCAGTACAGGCGCGCACTGCAGGGAATGCCCTTAGCGAAGTGGCAAGTGCCAGTAGGGACCCGAGACTCGCGTTGGACGTGTTGGCCTTGAACCCCCCCCGGCCCTCTGCCCAAAAACCTCCGAGCCCTGTATCCGACTCCCTGCACTCCTCGCATGTCTGAGAGTCGCATGTTCAGCTGTTCGCATGGATGTCGCGGTGCTCGACGCACAGGGGTCCCAAGGCCTCACAAGCAGTATAGGTCCTCATCGGCACGAGCTCATTATCTTGGCTTGCGGTTTCAAGCATTATCCTTCTCCTTGCTGCTTTCAAAAAAATGTTCGATTTCAACAAGCGCGATTTTCCGGCTCCAAGCTGCAACTGCCGCAAACCTGACCAGGACGAAAGCTGACAAGAGAGCTGTACATACTGCTGGCGGCCGAATTAAGGCATGGGATGGCTGAAGGCTCGAAACCAGAGAGTCAAAGATGCTAAGGGGATTCCAAGATTCGGGCGTCGTGAGAAGCTTGGTGTGGGATTTAGGAGCTTCGGAGCTTAGGAGCTTCGAGCAAACCAGCCACCATGCCATGCCTGCTTCCGCTCTGTTGCACAGGCCCACAGATTGGGTAGAATGTGTTTTGGAGGCTTCGGGCGGCCTTGCAGCTGTGGCAATGCAGAAGTTTTCAACTGGCAGCCGGCATGCTCAGCACATGACCCTCTCGGAACCCAGCTTTCCGGCTTCCACGCGATTACACCTGCATGAAAAAGGTTAGTGCAGACCCTGGCACACAAGCCGGATTGGGCTCCGCCCTAGCATCGTTTGGCACCTCGGCCTGCTGGGCGCCACGCAGGACATGACAATATGAACATGAACATATAGTGGCGGAGCTGCGAAGGCTGCGACGGCTGCGGAAGGTGCCACTCCAGGCTCCATGACGGGGCTCGCAACGGGCACCCATATGACAGAAATGACCGATCAGGTCACGTGACTCAGGCCTGAGGCTCCCGTGGGTCCCGTGGCTCTTGTTTGGAAAACAGTTGAGGGTTCGGAGTTCAAACTTTGGGAGTCCAAGTTCTGCGACGGGCTTCACGGGCTCCAGCGCCATGGGAATCGCAGAGGGACTCCCCGCAAGAAGCATGGCACCTCAGAAGTCAGGACCATCCTTTAGGTAGAGATGCTTCGTGAAAGGGGGGGGTCTCCAAACCGGTTCCCTGACGGTACTTGCTCTGAGTCAGGCAATCGAGGAGCAATCTTTCATATACCACAACCCCGAACAACCAATATGGCGACTGAGTACTGCTATTACCTGCTCGTACTACCCTTGGTCAACGCTTCAAGGTACGCTGTTGAGGCGCCTGACCAGGGTAACAGCAGGGTAACAAGTTGCAGGTGCAGGTCCAAGAAACCCAAAGCCTGGGCTCGTCTCTCAGCGCGCTTACTTTGAGAACGACTTCAGCGTGCCGGCGCCCCCCCAGCCATGAAAGAACATTTCCAAAGCGAGAGCCACAAATTTGCTCGTCACGAGATGACCGGCGTTGCCTACATGTATCATGATGTATCATGCTCATGCGTTACAAGAGCTCCTCATGCCTCCACTCTTTTGTCGTCTGCCTGAAATGGAAGCTTAGGGGCTGTCCCATGGGAGTTTCCGAACAGAGGGGGCCCGCGCGTTCAAGAAAGGCTCTGAAAAAGAAGAAGGTAGTTCAGAAGGTTCTCGGAATGTGCTCGGAAGGTTCGGAAGTCCCAGGTCTTTTGAATCCGCCCGCGGCTGCCGAAAGATGGCACTCGCGAAATCAAGAGGTGCGCCGTAGAGTGCATTTCTAGGGTCTGAGAAGCTGCGGATGCTGTACGTGTGTAGATTCTAGTACACGAACTGCCAAAAAAAAAGACGTCGTGCAAAATGTTGGCGATGTGGTGCTTGTGAGCAAGAGAGAAGCTGCAAGTGAGACAGTCCGACACAGTGTGGTGATGTGTGGTGTGCAGAGTCTGTTGCTTCGGACACTGGGGAGCTGCAAGACAGGATCCACCCAACAGTTGGATCCTCCCAACAGTTCTCAACAGTTGTCGGCAACCTACCAGCTCCGCATGAGGGATTGTCAACAATCCCTTCGTATTTCACTCTGCAATGGTTGCAGTAGCTGGGCCTGGCCTAGCGGCTAAGGGAGAGAGATCAGCCCTGGCATTTTCGTAGAGATCTTGGCAGACATGGCTGAGCCGAGCCTCGTGCAGGTCTCACATCTAAGCATACCCACACTGGCCCCCTCCTACAACACTACAACACTACAAGACTACTCAAAAGACCCTTATACCCTGGGAGACCTGAGCCTGTGCACTCGAGTCACTAGGGCGCCCTTTGCTGGTAGCTTGCAAGCCAGGCTTCCGAACTTCCGAGAGCTTTGCTGTCGCTTTGCACTTCACACTGCATGTCTTGCAGTGCCTGGGAACATCTCGCGACTGTCTAGGTTGGCCTGACAGAAGCGTCTTTGAGAGCTGACGCTGGACTCAGCAAGATATTTCGCATTTTAGCTGGGAGATTCTCTGAGGCCGAGAGAAGAGAGAGGAGCCACGACCATGAGCTTGACTAAGTGGAGGGAAAGGAAATCTTTGCCTCAAGACCATCTCCATCATCCGCATCTGTACAGTGTCCAGGGCTGTAAGGTGAAATGAAAGACTGCTGTCTGCCGTTCTTGAAGCTGTGTAGGTCCTCAGCGCTTGGAATCCAATTTGTCATTCTCCAGGCTTTAGTTTGAGAGTCACGGTTCGAAAAACACGAGGATGCATACATCAGCACGTCCACCCGAGCCTTGGCAGTGTGTCACAGACTGTAATGCGTATGGCCGAGACGACACTTCCCAGTCACCACCTTGGAGGCCCCGACTTATCCCCCCTGAAAGGCACATCAGGCACGATGCATGATCACCTGCAGGGTTTGCGGCTGAACGCGGGCAATAGAGAAAGACAACAACGCGAACTCAGACCCTAACTGCTTTGGCAAGAGTGGCAAGAGTAACAGACAAAAGAATTTAGAACTGGCAAAGACACGCATAGTGCAACATGATCCGGATTCCACTGTTGCATTTCGGATGGCAAGTTGGACTTAGTGCCTAGTGCTGGCCACATGCATCGGTCTTCCAGCTTGCCTTCCGGCCGGACAGGCGCGCATATGGCGTTTGACCAGCATGGGAGGGGTGGTGTCAGATACCATACTCCTGACCCTGACACTCCTTTGCATCTCCTTCTGTCTTATGGCCACATGTCGGGCCTCCCTTTCACGCCTAGAAGCTTGCTTCGCACGTTTTCGGGCAGACTTGGCGAAGGTGCTCAGTGTCTTGTCTTAAGGCAAGTTGTCCGGTTCGGGCACATGTGGTCCTCCACCCATCAAGCCTTCTGAATCCTGCCCAGGAGATCTCTTTGCGCATCGCTGCACTGGGCCATACCAGGCGCCATTTCAAGAATGGCGCTGCTAGCATGAAGCATCATCCCAAAAATGTTAATCGAGAGTACAGCGCTCAAACCAACACATACTCACAAGAACCATCGTCGTCCTCCTCATCATATCGTCAGCAGAACCATCAGCATCATCACAAAGCAAACGGACGGAAGGTAGTAATCTAAAACACTGCTGGAAGTTTGGCAGTACGTCGCCCGGACTGTGTACACATCACAGATTAAAACAGAGGCACACTGCATTCCCTCAGCGCACAGCCTTGCCATAAAACCTCGAGGCATGAGGCATGTGCGGCACCTTGGGTGTTGTTTGGTTTCATTGGTTTTGCTACATTCCGCTGCGTTCTTACACGGGCAAAGTGATGTAGACACATGCAGAGATTACCTTCAGCAATTTGATTTTCTTGGCATTCCAAACTCTGAACCCAAAATCGGACAAGTACCGCGGACTGAGTTTTCAATCACAAGCTCCTGAAGCACTGCGGCTCTGACTCCGTGTCACCTGTGCAAAGCGCGACGCAGGTCCTTGGCCTCCGAGAAGAGGCGACGACCCATGACATCAAAAAAGCCCGGGCACTTGGGAGAAGCTTTGAATCTCGGTGAAGAGGTTTCCAACAACTTCGTTTGGGCAGGAGGCCATAAGGAAAGGTGTCACAAGCCCGTAGTAGGCACCCAAGGCAGGCAATTGCCAGCGGCTCCCTGCATCTCAGAAGCCTTCAGTGGTGGCTCGAATCGGGTGAAGCATGTCTCAGGATCCACTCCCAAGAAGGAGTTCGGTCTTCCCATCCATCTCGCTGGACGGATAACGTTTGCGCAGGATCTGATCAGCTCTCTTTTGGTGTGTCTTCTCCGCTTCTCCGAGGCTTACCGGTCCTTGGCGCTGAAGCCTGGAGCCTGGAGAGACGTAGGGCATCAAAAACAAACTCTCAACACCTCGGAAGCCTCCTTGCATCGCAAGTCTGTCAATTTTTGCTAGTATTCGGCCCTGATACTATGCTATTGTAATGCAGTACTGTGATTTTGTTATCCCGTTTTTGGGCATTTGTTGCTCGGCTTGAGCATTTCGCACGCTTGCAAAACATGTTCATGACAGGTGGCATCCAGACAAGAACCCCCCCGACGCCAGAACCTCAGCCACTCCCAGAAGATGGTTGCAAAGCACCTTCAGAAAAGATTCGCGCCGAGAATCATGTAAGCCCCTATTCAGAGTCAACATTCTTGAGGGAGTAGTAGAAGAATCAAGTCTTGGCCCTGGCCTTGACAGAGGTTTTTGCGATGAGCTTCGAAGGAACACAAGCCAGCAAACGAGCCAAATCCAGATGCAAAGGTCCGCCACGACAAGGAAAAGCTGTTCAAGGCCTTGTGCAGACACCCGGGCCCGCGATGCTTTTGGCCAAGCAAGTGCAGAACTGGTGGCCGCAGAAATGTCCCAAAACCTTGAGTTGAGGAGGGTGCAAAGAGTGCTTCTCTTCCTCTCCAGTTGAAGAACGAGGGGTCTGAACCTGTAGGTTGGTAGGGTTGCTCGAGTTCTGGAGTTGCTTGTCGGGCCTGTGTCACCGCTTCAGAGTTTCGATGCGAATTTGTTTCAAGGGTTGGGGGATGCCCGGCCAAGAATGGAGTTATTGAAACAGCGGTCCATGACATTCCACGATTACGACAGACTGTACAGAATCTGTACAGAATCTGCACCTTCGATGGGAAAGCTTGAAGTATAAATCCACTTTCAGGTTGCTTTCGCAGAGCTTCTTGCGAGGCCTTAGTGGAAGCCTATGAGACTCTCAGCGACAGCACAAAGCGCGCGTCTCAGGAACACCACTTTAAAAGAATGGGGGCTTCATGTATTCTGTGTGGCCCAGGCGTCGAGAATATGACCAAAGTCATATCCAAGGCCTCCGAGCACAAGTCAAGGGTCGACAAGTTTTGACAGTCAGGTCGTAGGCACATTTCGTGGGATTCCCATAAAGACCGATCATGTCTGCGGACCACCGTCCCAGGGTCTTCCAACATGCTTTCGAGAGCTTTGGACTACTCCTTATCTCCTGCTCTCTGCGCGATGAGCTCTTCGCCTTCTGCCTGAGCCGGCATCTTCCCAGTACGATACTCATTGCAAGCACCAACCATCAAGACAGTAGCGTTTCGTAATGTCTCGTAATGTCACACAAGCCAGCAAGTGCCTGAGCCAGCAGCCAGCTTTTGGCAGGTTTCCGGATGCCCGGCGAGGTGGACGCTCATTGGCTTGAGTCTGCTCTTTGTTGAAAATGCCCTTGTAAGTCTAAAAAAAAGGGTCCCGACTGTCAGGAGCTCCGATCTTGGTCCAGACCGGGCAGTGCTGTCGCGACCTGAGTCTGATTGGGTTTCCATTCATTTTTGTTCCCGTACTGTCCTCGAGTAGGCACAAAAAAAGTTAGGCGTCTCTGCCCTGAACTGCGCGCACTGTTGGGGGGCAAATGTTGAAAGCTTGAGGTTTGGAGCGACTGGGGCTAGAAGCGTTTGAGCAAACAACAAAATCAAGTTCTTTGTCTCTTGGAACCTTTTCCAGTCAACTTTGAAAGCAGCGGTGCTGGCTGAATCTCAGTGCTGGGGCTCGTGGTGGCCTGATGTCTTGGAGTGGGAGAGCTTGGCAGAGCTTCGTTTGGATTATGTTTAAATGAGGGCAAGAGTCGGCACAATACAAAAGCCGGAAGCCTTTTTCAATTTGCTGGCAGTGCCCAGATTCCTGCTGACAAATACGCACCGATGCCCCCCCGAACAGCGCGTGCACTTTCGGATGCTTCCGTAGTAAAAGGGAATCAGATCGCTGTCTTCTCAGCCTTTCCTGGATCTCTCGAATCGCGAACCATGACCTTCTCTCTGTTTCCGTATGCCCGTGACACTCTCGCATGGGCGCGTGTGCGTTTCAGGGTCCGCACTGTCAAGAGGTGCCCCCAAATGTCTCAAGCTGCATGCGTTTGGCCTCGCAGCGGGTGCCACTCATCACACTCTTGCGCAAATCCCCGTGCGCGTGCTCTCGCCTAGACTTCATGACTTGGACCACTGGCACGTGCTTGCTTTTGCGCAGGGTTTCCTTGGTGTCGCGGTGGAGAAATGGAGAAGTGGCCCATGTTGTGGTTTCTTGCTCTCCGGAAAAAGACTTCCAAAGCCGAGCGAGTAACCTCTGAGGCTTCTCAGCGTGCGGGTCGAAGGCGGTCTTCAGTGGGGTGCCAATGGAATGTGGGGTGGGGTGGGGTTGGAGGGGAACTGAGGTTTTCATGGATGACGATGTGCAGCTTCATTTTCAGATAGGGCCCATGGGGTTCGAGGGCTTAGGGTCGCCCTCAGTCCGATGCAATCTTCAGGCAACTTAGCACGGGTACTCCCCAAAGACGTGCCGCGAAAGTTTGGCTGTCGGAACTTAATCACTTGTTGTGCAAGAATTCCTTGGCATGGCAGGTCAGTAAAGCTTCTATTTTTATGAAGAGGTTGAGCCTTCTTGCAAAGATCCCGACCACCCCTAGCTGGACAGATCGGACATCCCAGGAAAGGCCAACTTGAAATCCACACCGGGATGCACACACCTTGAAATTCTCAAACACGAAGGAAAGAGCCAAAAGTTATGCAAGACAGAGCTGTTGCGACGCTTTTGAAGCCATGGTATCAGACAGAAGACGTGTGAATGTAATACGATAAGGTCATTCAGCGGACTGCCCCGAAACCTGAAATCCAGCCATCATGCAGCGGCTGCAACTGGGCGAACTGGCTACAGTCGAGGACTTTGACACGTGCCTCGGAGCAACGACTGAGGAGCGCAGTCAGCACGCTTTGCGGTTCGATTGTTCTGGAGGCCACTTGTCTTTGCTCGGAAGTGGCGTGCGCAGCTACAAAATGCTGAGGTACAAAAACTTTCCGGCGCTCTTGCGTGACAAGGAGGCCTTCAGCCTCGAGATATGCGCCGAGCATGAGCCGGTGCCTTGACTTGTATAGCACGGGGGGAGGCGTTGAAACTGTTGGGTCTGGAGTGTAGACTCATGCACAACGCCCATCGAAACTGGCCAGGTCAGCGTTGACACGGGGATGTTTGTTCAAAAGCCCCTTGACCTTGGCTTTGAGTGCCCTTGAATTACGAGAGCTTCCTTCAGGATGTCCAGGACATTCTGGGAGCCGCGCAGGCCGAGGCTGAGGCCAAGGCAATCGCCGCGAAACTTGCGGCCCGCCTGGGGAAAAAAGGCTCCGAAGGCAATAGCAAGGAATCTCAGGGGCGCTGGAAATTCGGGGGAGTTGCATTTCCAAAAAGTTAATTGATGGTAGGGGCTGCCCAAATCATTAGGCGGTTTCTGCGCTGAATTAGGCCAGAATTAGGCGTCATCAATCCACCATGTTGTTTTCCGGACGACGGCCGAGGTCTAAGTGTGGCTACCTAAACTGACCTAAACTGACCTAAACTGATGAGGTGACGCTTCACGCGGACAGCATCGCGGTGACCTTCGAGGGTTCGGCGCTTCTGCTCCGGCTGCACAGGGATTGCTTGAACAGCGTCCAGAGCTTCGCATTGCCAGCACGCATCGTGTCGTTGGTGCTGGTGCAACAGCCCTACACCAGCATCTTTGCTGATCATAGGCATCTGCTGGACACACCCCATGTCCCACTAGAATGGATTCGCCATGGCAGCTGAGGCATGGAAAGCGGGGAGGCGGTCTTGGTGAGCTTGCAGGGCGGGGGTCTGCACGCCATCCAGGCCTTTGGGAGGGAGAGAAAGCCCGAAGCATACCGAATCACAAGAGCACCAAGCGAACCCCCCGAGGTGTCCGGGGATGCACACTGCCGCACCCTGTGCCGGGCGCAGCTCAACAGCACGAAGCGGCCGTTCCTCAGTGCTGCTCTCATGGAGCAGGACGCTCGCAACGACGCATAGAACCCAACACCGACGCATAGAACCCAACACCTTTCCTGTCTCACAGACAAGTGAGCACATTCTCCAGTGACAATAACAGGACTCTGGCATCATGGCACTGGTGCATCGAGCCGCCCGTGGTCACACCATGGGTTTCGTGGAGCTGATGGCGGTGCGGCTCAGGGAATCTGGCCCCGAGGACCCTGCATAGCTATCCGTAAGCCTCGCAAGGACAGGCGTGCTGCTTCCGGGTTACTGGCCTGCTTCGTCGGTTTCGCACGTTCCGCCAGACATATTCGTGCCAGCGTCAATGCCAAAGTGGGTGAATGTTCTGTGAGAATATGTGAGAATATTTCTGTTTAGCAGCTAGTGTTGCCGCCCTGAAACATTTGCCAGGAAGTTGAGCCATTGTGGGTGGCACGGGGTCCGCACCCTCCACATGCTGCACATTGGCAGACTGCCCAACTGGGCCTTCTGGTAGCATCTGGAGGCCAGATTGACCCCAGATCTTGAGTGCGGCTGCTTGAGGTGTTGAACAGCTTTACGATGTCAAGCCCCCCAAGATTTCATGTCAAGTGCCCCTCGATGTGGTTGCTTCATCGATCTTGTGGGTTTAGGGCCCTTGGAATCCTGGAGGCTTCGAATTGGCAGAAGATTCCGAAGATTCTGCGGGACCCACATTACTGCAGACCGAAGATGCTGTGTGCACAGTGCTTCTTGACAACACGGTGAGCCCAGTCAGCAGTACAAGCCATCTTGCGCACGGCAGCCGTTTTGAAGAGATTTTGAGGCACGGGTGTCGGGGTTCGGTGCTTCCAGTAGGCGAGCTCAGATGTCACTCAGTTCTTTGACAGCATCCACAAGCTTTATGAGCTCTGCAGGTGTAGCAAAGGAAAAGAGGTGAAAGGAGATGAAAAGAGACACAGACACAAGCAAAAAAATGAGGAGGCCTAGGTTTGGCAGGAAGAACTCCATGCCCACTCGAGAGGCTCAATGGTGGAATTGATGAGATGCGGTTCTTTCATGTGACTTCAGAAACGTAAGGGCTATCCAAATCAGGAAGTACAGAGCACGCAAGACATCTCACTTCAGAACCTGAAGCCCGAAGGAAACCGCAGAAGCCTTGCAACACAAAAGTAACTGAGTTCCCGAACTCAGGCAGAGCTTAGCTTTTGAACATCTTGCATGTTGGCAAAGTCCTCATCCCAACTCGACACTCAGGTTTTGCATGGAGTCGGTGGTGCGCCTGGACAACTGGCTGCTGCCCAGAGGTCGGGGCCAAGGGAGTATAGTAGCTCATAGTAGAACGTTGCAAGTGTGCAAATGTTTCCGTATGTTTGTGTTTTCTATGTTGGGTGTCGGCATAGTTTTAAGGGGCGATGTCCGGGAGATTTCGGGCTCTGAGGCGAGGTCTTGTGCTGCTCAGCGCACGCGGGCGGCCTCGAGGTTGCATTGACACACTCTTCCGGAGGCGCGCTGCTCTTCAAGTTGGTGGCCTGGCCGTATGGAAAGCTGTTGCCCTTTTCGCCCTTTTCTTTAAGATGTACGGATGTCTATATAGAGATGTTTAGAGTTTAGAGGGCTTTGCAGCACCTCGGGGTGCAGGCGTAGTGCACTCAAGTCGCTGTTTGTCGGCTCCAAGTACTTCCTGAGAACAGCTTTGACACCCCGCCCTTCTCTTCGCCACTTCTCGCCTCCACGCAACTAGCGTTGCAGCGCACCTGCACGAATAGGCAAAATAGTACGTGGAGAGAGTTACGCTTTGTTTAATTTGTTTGGGGGGTCTCTGCTGAACAGTTGAGGTGCTGCATTCAGCATGTCCTCTTCTTCAGGATGCCTCCATCATTCCAGGGGCTGCTGCTTGTGCAGCGGCACGAGAGCAGCTCCGAATCTTCAAGGTGGCTCCGGATCGCAGCTACTTCGTGCTGGTGGATGGAAGTGATCGTAGCGACTTGGCGCCGACCTTCAGCCTTTGCGTCCTTGTGTTCAAGTCGTGACAATCGGAGTCAGTACAAACACGTTGTTGCTGCTCAGGTGGGGCGGTCGTGTTCCTGTGCCCCGGACCAAACCCCAAAAGCTCGCGCTCACCCACGGCCACAGTATGTACAGAGCCTGTGGAAGCTGTGCAGTTACTACCTTCCTCCCTTTTGCTTCGCACACGTGAAGGCATCCAACGGTGCACTCTGAACATGTCTGCGAAAGTCGAGGGAGTGAAGCGTGAGCTCATTTCCAGGGACTTAATGCCTCTCGGGATGGATCCCCAGGCATTGCTGAAGATGCTCGATATGCAGGGGGAGGACTAGAAAAAGACACACACAATGCTCTGTTACAAAGCCTTTGCTTGAGTCTACACTGTTTTGCAGCCCCCGAAATTGTCCAATGAACGCCTGCGAGTAAAGTAGCCCTCTCATAACCAGATTTAAAATTTAGGCCATGTCTGCCTGCAGCAAGCCCAATTCTAAAACAACAGCCGACATCAGTGAGGATTCTGGCACAAATAACGTGTAAGCTGCTATTGCTGTCACGGTGGCGGTAGTTGCTCAGGACTCAGTCATGGCGTCAAGAACCGAATCGGAGAGCCATTTGGGTCCCCCAGATTGAAAGCATGACACGGAAGAGACGAAAAATGCTGGAAGGGACCGACGAAAGCCCTGAGTCTCAAGTTCAAGGTGATACAAGATGTTGCTACCAGTCGCATCTCACGAGAACACAAGCATGCCCTTGTAAACCCTCGAAGTGAGCACCTCGCCTCCCCTCTACCTCTGCCATCCAAAGCCTCAAAGCTCCGCCTTACACAAATTATCTCGGAGCACTTGAGGGCTCAAGAAGCCGATTCAGAGACCCCCAGAAGGCCCTTTTTCCCTCTCTCCCTTTCCCCCCCCCCCCAATTTTTGCTCTCTCCCTCAACCGGGCCATGAAAGAGCGGCGCTGCCGCGTGCGCTTGGGGAGTGATGGGGCTGCTCACGGTGCCAGTGAACGAGGACTTCAGAACCACTCTCCCGACTCAAGTCTAGGAGTTCGCCCAGTGAGAGGTCCAACTGGAGAGCTGTCTCTTCACAGCAGTCAATAGACATCAAAGACATGTCAAGACATCCCCAAGACTTTAAGACCCGCGGACTCCAAACTTTGAGCTGCGCCCTCATCCAGTCCTCCTACAGCCCAAGGCTGTGCAAGGTGATTCGAGGATGTTGTGCGCGAGAAACTCCCCGTTCAACCCGCGAACCACCTCCACCAAACACACAAACACAAGGAGATCATGGGCCAAGCGACCTGGCAAGCTGTGCTGCAACACGCGCTTCAGCGCCGGGAGGCTCCGGTTGGCATTGCGAGCGGCACGAAACCGGGATCCTCTTAAAAACCTTCCCAAGAGATATGCGAAGCCAGTAGTACGTCAGGGATACAAAGCCAGTTTGAGGCCGCCGGGGGAGGGGGGGGGGGGCTGGTTGGGAGCATAGATGCTTAAGCCTGGGCCAGCGAGAGGTCATGGACGAAGTCAACGCGGTTACCTCGCTGCACCGTGCTGCAAAACTCTATCGAGAGGAGAGGCGAAGCAAAGCCTTTGGTGATTAGGGTTTGATGCCCCATTTTCAGACGGTTCTTGAGAGAGTTCAACCTGAAAAGCAGAGCGGCCTCTGTCTTCTGCCCACACTGGACCTTACAAGGGACTGTGAAGCAAGACTTGAGAAAAGCTTCGGAGCGGCAAGACTCAGGATCTAACATGCAAGCACTCGTGCGGGAGCCACTCACGGTTCTAGCATGCAAGCACTCCGGTGCGGGAGCCACCCCGGCACGTCGGTCTCCAGGCTTTTTCTGATGGGAATCGTAGAAGAATCGACCCAGCTCACTCCAGGAGGATGCTGGACGTACGCCACTTCACCTGGTGCATCACCACGCAGGTGCCCGGACGCTTTCGATTGGTAGTCTGCAATCTTCTTCGCAACCCCGCCCTGCACCGAAAAGATCTGGAGAGGGCATGTGTACTCGTGTATCTGGAGTGCCGAGCAGAACACATTCCACCCCCAAAACGCAAGCTCTATCGTGAGGTCCATTTGTTCCCCCCCCCTTTGCGAAACGCCCCGTACCTACTCAAGATAAGCCCCCTCTAAGACCGTGCCGCTCTCGGCAGTCAAAATCATCAAGCCGGCTATGCGCTCTCATTTCGTGAGTTCCATGGCCTCCATATTGCCTGTATCGGTGTTTGCATCAACCAAGGTTTTCTGTGTCTCCTCGAGCTCACAGAGCACTTCGCCGTAAAATGCCGACCCCAGCAAATTGCCAATGCCCTTTGGGCTTTTGCAGCTTCCTGGCAGCGTGGCATCCTAGACTCAGATGGTTAGGCCTTTTAAGATTTAGCAATGTCCGAAAAGATAAGATCCGCTGACTTGCAAATTTGCCGTCTCATGGCTCTGAGTCAATCCGCTTCTTTCATGCCCTGTTCATGCCAATCGGCCCAATGCACCTATCGCTCCCTTGACTCGAGGTTTTACTTTTCCGGCACGAGCGGCTGCTTCGCCTTCTGTGCTGGTGCGACCACATCATGGTTTCTGGCTTCTTTCGTGAGCGGTTTGGATCTAGCCGGCATGCTTCAGCCAAGCTCACGTAAACAGTCACCGTGGCAAGGTACGCCGCAGCGAGACTGGCCATGTTCTTGCCGCAGAACGTCTCCAACTCCGCTTGGGCGCTGGGCACTATAGGCTTGGGGGCACCGCAGTCGCTGCAGCAACAAAGTATCACAAGACCGGACAAGTGAGGGGATTTGTCTGAAGCAGCTTTGCCGTTCCGTGTGAGCACAGGCCTCTCAGACCCTGGGACACAGTTCTCATTGACAAACTGAGAGGATATCAAGACGACGAGCTGCTAGACATGGTCCCACAACACGTGGCCGCCAACATTCGGGACTACAGCCCCCAGGACTGTCAGGGAGGCCGAAAAACCTCCAGAGGTTAACGCATGTCAAGCCCAAGACAGCTGCCGACTCTGAGGTCAGAGATGGAACAACCCACAAATATCAATCGACGCGGCTTAATGCTTTTCCCACGCCTCAAAGAAAGATCCAGGATTTGTCCAACACCTGCTGGGCCTTCGCACGCCTGCAGAAACCTTGCGATCCACTTTTCCGCACCTGCTGCAGCATAGAATCACTAGGATTGGGGTTGGTCTTGCTTCTGGGCTTCCCGATTTTTTCTCATCGAGAGCTCGCATACCCTTTCAACACTTCGGCACAGGTTGTGCCAGACCGCTATGAGTAGGATGAACACTTAGGCTTCTGGACAAGGTTAGAGTTATTTGGACTCAGCTTCAAAAGCCCTCAAAAGCACTCAACGAAGGAGTTTAACGACCTGAATTAATACTTCAAGCGCTGTCGCTGAAGTCTCCCGGCCAGCTTGTATGCCCGTTATTTCACCTAAAGACTCATCCACCTTGTGGTCCCACGTGGAGCCTTGAAGCTACACATGCCACACGCTATGTTTCGGGATGCTGGGATCTACACAGTTCGTCCCAGCAAGGATGACGACGTTCGCCCACCTGTGAGCAGCATAACGACCTGCTTCGTTGGCACCATGAGGTCTGATTCTGGCAGAGTCGTTGGTCCAGCTTCCACGATTCCAGCAACTCGACTCGAAATACCAGCCCATGTGCATTCAGATCAGTTCGACATGGTTGTCATCATCCATCTTCAAGATCCTGGGGTGGTAGGGGCAGGGTAGGGTGGCGGGTTGGGAGGGAGGTAGGAGATTCACGAAGCACAGGTGGCAACTCATTGGGAGCAGTCTCATGGACCCCACAAAACCCAACTCGGAGCCATAGAGAATCCGCACAGCCCGAGGCCGCAAAACATGTCCAACTTGATTTGGGCTTGTGCCACCGTTCTGTTCAAGGATGAGGCAGGGTCTGACGGGGGAAAGCTTCGAGAGCACTGAGCCTTTGGCAAAATTTAGCATAGTCTTCTCGTAGCTAGTTGCAAACAAGCCTTGGGCTGCACAAAAAGCATGCCATGGCTCGGCAGAACCGGCTACTCCAGCCAATGCCACAGATCACTCCACTAACCCTCCTGAGAATCAGTCCAGCTTTTGGCCCGAACATGAGTTTGCCAATCAGCTGCAATCAGTGGCACAGAACGACACAGGATAAGGGACCATGAATGATAAGATGTCTCAAACCTTTTTTCGACGGCAGGCTGCCATGCGCGCCATTGCCAGCTTCGCAGCGACACGGGTGGCTGACTTCGGCACCCAGGATGCTCACACTCTGCTGCACCCTTATCTTGACCGATGCCCGTGTCAAAGCACGATTTCTGAAAAAAGTCGCTGCACACAGAATGTCCCACCCAGAATCTTACTGTACGCTAGGCTGTCAACCACCCCCAAACTTCATTGCTGCCATGGAGAGGAGCTCTCGAACTTAACCTGGGGCCTGGCTACCCTTGCCATTCTTTGCGAAGACTGGATGGAAGAGAGTGCCCTGGATCGGAAGATGGTCGAAGATGCGGAGGTTGGGATCGGTCGTTAGAAAACAACGGTCGGGGTGCGAAGTCCAGCAAGCTCGGCTAAAAGGTAGCCTGCCGTGGACAAACTACACAATCAGGTGCTGAAATCAGATGCAACAGGCACCATCAGATACCATCAGGAGATAACACAGTCATGCGAATGGCGTGCTGAGGCGGTGGGGAGATGACGAGACGGTCAAGGGATTGCGTTCCTCAGGACCTTTCGAACACTTTGTGGCCTATTTCCGACGTAAAGCAACGTTTTCATCTGTTGGGATGTGGCGCGGCAAAAGACTGCAGCATCCTTGTGCAAACAGCCCCTTCCTTTGCAAAGCCCTTGTGCAGACCCAAGCATCCAATGCATGGTGCATGGAAAGAAGTAGAGCCCCAAGCTCTCCTCATGGCAACCCTGAGGCTGAAACCCAGCTCAAGCCTGGTCATAAACACGGAACAGCCACACAGAGTCGTCAAGGTGGGCATACGGCACCCTGAAGCACAAGCGAAACGAGCACTTGCGGGCCATCAACTGGGAGGTCATGCGCCAGATCGAGTGGTTCTCACCACAAGGCTTATCCAATGTGACCTTTGGCTTGCCAGGTGTGAGTACGGGCCGGGGATTCGGGGAAGCAGCACCACACATATACTCCCGCACCAAACTCAGGTTTTCTTCCTTAAGAAGGGATCAAGATTTGAAGTCGGCAACACTGGCGCATGCTGCGTCAGCCGAAAACAAGGATATGGGGGCTTTCTGCCATCGAGTACCGCGACATCAAGGCTCTGACGTGCATCAGTGAGGAGATCGTACGCCGTCCCATGGACCACCTGACGCCACCAGACATCTCAACGCTGCTGCACCTGGCAACGCACTGTTGGAGCTTGGGAGGGGGGTCAGAGCGTCAGAGAGTCATAGCAGTAGGGGAGTTTCAAGCACTTAGGTACAGCTTTGCAGTGCTTGCTTGGTCCCACGAAGATGCGCTGCTGAAGCTGCGGCGGGCTGTGCGCTTGAAGATGCCTCAGTTCGCCTCCAGGGATGTGGCCAACGTGTCCTGGGCTTTGGTTGCTTGGCCCACTTGGCCCACTTGGCCTAGGGCCCGTTTGTAGCCTAGCCCCCAAGCATAAACAATTGAGAAAATACAACCTGAAAACTTAATGAGCGGCCACGACTGAAATGCACAATATGGGGATGCTGATGTCGCTGTCTGAAAGTGCAGTCAACACCAGGTCCAGACTAGCGGAACCTCTGCCCGAAGCCCCGTGTTTCCCGCATCGTTCTCCAGATTCGGAGCTTATGGCCAACAAGGTCACTTTATCCCACCGGGATGACAACATCTTCCGAATGCTGATGGACAAAGCGGAGGCCGGTGAGAGGTTTGCTTCTGGGATGGTTCTTTCTGACTACTTCGCGCTTCTCACTCCTTGGGCTTGCTCTGGACATTCCGAAGAGACCCACTGCAGGAAGGGGAAACAACCGTAAATCCGTCAAATCCGTCAGAATAGTCTTGCAGGAGGAGCGGAAACCTCTGCAGAGCAAGGGCTTTGAGCATGTGAACTTCTTCTTTGAGGGTCGAGTCAAGTGTAAAACTTACCACTGCAAAGGCAGCTCGAACAATGTTGTAGCCCGGACTGTTCCACGCCGCACTGTGGCTGTTGCAACCTCGGCTGGCTAAACGGCTCCTTGTGGTTGGTCGGAACCGGGGTGCCCCTGAAATTTCAGTGGCCACACCATGTTGCTCTCTCGCATCTTGATACCCATCCCACACCCCCACCCTCCATTTTGATAGACAAGCATTTGGTTGATCGACTCATTTCTTTTATGTTAGAGAATGACCACCGGAAAAGAAAATGCTTGTCGGATTTCTTTGCATTTTATGGCGTACTGAACATACTACTCGTGTGAAGGGGGGGGGGCTTCGGCTGTCCTGGCTTTCTTGCTTTGTTCTTACGAACCTCAAAAAGGCAGTCAACACAGGCCCGCGGTATAGCTCTTGAAAGACCTCTGCATGATTCCCTGAGAGGCGATTATTCCAGAGTTCACAATCACAGGCCTTTGAGTCCTGGCAGAAGGCTGTCGATGTCGCAAGGGGCTCCAGTTTGAGGTCCTGGGTTTGCGCCGTGCTGCTGGAAGGCCCAAGACACCAGAGGTTTATAGGAACAAGGCTCACGTTAACCAACAGCACCTCTCATTGCTTTTCTGCGTGATTCTTTGACAACAATGCTCGAGGTCGAGGCCAGAAAGGCTGAAAAGCAATTGACAGAAGTTACCATTCCCTACAATGCCTTCGGCTGCTGTGCACACAATTAGGCCGGGGTCACACCACACTAGCTGAAGATGCTGTGAGTACTCCATGGAGTAGGAAGCCATGAGTTCAAACACGAGAATCGTCGCATCTCCTGTTGCGACTTGCAGCAGCACGCTATTTTGCCGCTAACCTTCGTCCACGGCTTTGCAGATGCTCAATGGTGCACTTCTTAGGCAACATCGCCTGGGCCTTTGTGCGCTTTGGCTTGGATGTCCCACCTGGGGTGGCACAGGGCATCGCGCACGAGACCCTCACGCGAGGAGACGAGGCCAGCCTGGCTTGTATGAGTTGGTGGTTTCTTGCATGGCGAAAGGCTTGAGCACCTCTTGTGCTGCACCTTCGCAAAGTGTTGTTGGCTTTTCGAGGTTGAGCCACTTTACCAAAGTGAGATGCATCTCGTCGAACCCGTTGGGAAACTGCACCAAAAAAAGGGCATCTTTTGTTTTAATTTGTTTTAACCTCGCCGTCCTTGTTTTAAACCTCGTGTCTTTTTTAACCTCGTCATCTGAATTTGAACCCATTTTGAACCTAGCCCTTTTTCAGTCTTCTTTTTGCCCTTACCCCTTCTGATGTATAACCTCGTCTATCTTAATTTCCTGGCTACGGTTTATTTCCCCTGAGAGTGAGTGAGGAGCACTGCCAACTGGGTGGGCAGTTGGTGGCCATGCCTTAGGCGCTATCCCTCCTGCCTTCTCAATAATTAACGATACGTCATTGCCCCCTCCGATTGGAGTTCAGGCTGGCCGCGCCCCCGGGTTCCGAAAACGCCATCACCCCTCAGGGACAGAGAATCTTAAAATCAACCTCGGAAATCTGCCTCGTCTGTCTTATTTCCAACCAAATCCGTCTTATGTAAAAACCTCGCCGAAGGCATGGTCCCACAAGGCCCAGCCCAGCTGGCCGGCCCAGCCAGAATTAGCTGAAGGTTTTTTTGGTTAAGGGCTCAGGGTTACCGCCGTCACCATTACCATTTTTCACCATTTCCCACCATTTCCCAGCACCATTACCCACCAATGCCCACCACTACTCACCATTCCCACCATTTCCCATAAATTCCCACCGTGCCACGATTCGCCACCCTTCCCACGATTACCCACCAGTATCGACCATTGCCACCATTACCCTCCATTCCACCAATAGACCCGAGGTTAAAAAAACAACGAGGGCGAATAAAAAAGAGTCCGAAGCCTTGGAACTGCACATGGAGGCTCCTCCTGAAAGCCTGAGTGGAGAGCCTAAGGTCTTTGAAGAACCTGGCGATGCAGTGCGGCTCAGTCATGGAAGTGTGTCGTCCCTCCTATTTCCGCAGTAAGTTCGATGGGTTGAGCGGGATTCATGTTTCGAGCTCGGACTCGAGAGCTGTAAGGCTCTATCTTGTACATCCAACCCTTCAGGCTCCGGGCATATGCCTTGTGCATCCTTGTGCCCATGTGCAATCAGCTGAGGCTTCTCTCCGATGCCGTTTGCAGCGAGTGGGGCCATCATGTTCCGCGGGAGACCTGCCTCAACTGTGCCGGTCGGCTGCCCACGTACAGGTGGTCGCATGCATTCATTTTCGGATAGGCGTTATTCTCCGGCTTCTGCAATAAGTGCCGAGGGATTTGGGGAATGTAAACCTTGAGGAAATCTTCAACCAATGCGACGCGATCGGACGCCAGCCCTACGAAGAGGTCTTGACCTTCTTCCAGGCGAGAGACCAAGGAAATTGGGAGCAGGGCTCTAACTTTGGGACTCCACTCACGCAGATTCGAGACCCGGCCATGTACTCATCGTCTGTCGACTTCATGCAACTGCTACCGAATCAACAGAAACACAATAGAAGCATAGCGGAGTTCCACATCAGTTTCCATGTCAGTTCGCACGTTTTGAGTTTGCAATAGGTTTAAACCAAAAGAATATAAAATAGTCATAGTAATACTAGAAAAGAGCATGTACTACGGTAGTACATTTACGAATGTACACCGTTTTCGCAATGGACTTTCTCTATCCACCGTGTGCTTAGTCCGTGATAGCCCCCGACAAAAGCATTCGTGTTTGGCTCCTTTGGGCTGCCCTACATGCAGGACATGGCAAACATCCCCTCCATCAACTGCAGCTCCTCGGAAGCCGAGCTCTACCAGCACAAGGCTCTTGACCGCATCTTCGCGCGCACCGCGCTTTGAAATCATCACCCTCAGCCCTGCAGCAAAGAGAAGACTTCACCAAAAAGACGGCTTAAGCCCCAAGAGGTGACCAGCTTTAAGACCATCCAGCTTGGTCGGAGGATGACCTGCGAGAATCTCGGCTGCAAGCGAGATTCTCTGCACGGCCTTTGCCAGCCCGGCCCGCACGGAGGATGCTGCGCAAGTTCGACATGTTGGAAGAGGATCCCGACATCTGCGGTCCTTTACGGCGCTTGCGAGAGGATTGGCTTCTGCAGGGCATCCAGTCTGCTTACGAAGCAGATCCGATGGATGCAACTATGAACCTGGGCCAGACTCACAACTTGTGATTCCAGGCATAAACACTAAGTAGTTCAAACCACGATCAAGAAAGCCCAAGCAGATCCTTCGACTCCGAGGAAGCACAAAACGACATGCACCTGGAAACTCTCCGGGAGCGAGCCAGGGCAAGAAATCAGCTTCATGAGCTTGGGGCTTATTGGGGCTTCTGGGTGAAAAGTCCCAGTGTCAGCCAGTGTTCGGCTCAACTCCATGAAAAATCGCTCTCCTGGAACCGAGGGACCATTTCATACGCTTTGGAGAGCGTTCCCTCCGAGGACCGGACGCTCACTGACGCCCAAGTGGTTGCGAGCGGGATGCCTATGGACGAGCCCATCAGGTCCTCGCAATTTCTCCTCAGCGCCCTAGAAATTACGGATGTGTACAGATCACAGCAGTCGAGAATCCTAGCTTGCTGAGAATGCTCAGCCTTCGCACTGAACAACCTGTCTTCGCGACCTTTCTGCAGGTTCGTGGCGTGCGTCGTCGAGCATTCGCGCTCCAACGATGCGGAGTTTCAAGTGGTGAACAAAGCAGCGGAGTCTTGGACGGTACTGTATCTCAGACAGGCAGCACCGAACTCGAATAAGGTGTCGAGCAGGCTCGGGCACTGGACAGCTGACCATCCAAATTTCTCTTCCTTCGTCCCCTCCACTCAAAACCTCAAAACTCAAACGTTGCCGAGGACCAGCTCCTAAGAATGCCGGGCGGCCACAACATGGAGGCCACATTGCGCTTCGAT